GCTTCATTGAATTCCATAGCATAAAATAAATCATAGAAAGATTTACGTGGGAAAAGGTGTCTGTAAGTTTCTAGTTCAGTGCTCCTGAAGCACGTGGTCTGTGATCCATAATCCTTTTCCAACCACCAGTACTGAGCCACTCACCCATCCTAGTGCCACCATCTTACTCGCCCCAGCTATTGGCACTACAGCCTGGGGTGCCAGCACCCTCATCTGATTCCAGTTGCTAGACCTGTGTCCCCTTATGCCAGTCCCCCCACTTCTTTGTGCCTTATCCTTTCAACATCAACACGCGTGGGATGATTTGTGGGATGAAAGTGTGAGATTGCACAGAAAGAAAGTTAAGAAGGTCTTTAATTAGGGGACAGAACATACCGTAGTGATCAAGTGCAGGGTTGGTCAAACAAATGTACTAGAAAACAGTGGTTTACATGAAACTGGGCCCTTTTATACTCTTTTCTATCCACTTCACCTCCTTTGTTTCTCTATAAACTCCCTCCCTTAAATGTTCCTTAACAAATTTTGTGCAGTCCCACAGGTGCCCTTCAAATATCCCAAATCCTCCTGTTTCTTCCTTCTCATCAGTTACAAAGCCCAGACTGGCCACCTCCAAAGCTGTGCCTGGAGCTTCCTGGTCATTCAATGATTAGTATCCAAATTGGCCACTGTCTCTGTTATCCTTTGTCTACTAGGTTTGTGCTTCTGCATGTTCTTATTTGTCTGTTCCTCCTTTACTTGTTATCCCCTTTGCATTGAAAGGCTCGTTGGTTGGATAACAGTAATGAAGCAAAGCCTCTCACCTTCCTTAATACCTTTACACAGTTGTACTTGTCTTCTGCTGAAGGATGAAAACTGGACCTAGTACACCGACACTGCTTTGTAAATACTGAATAGAGAGACAGAGCTTATGTTCTTAGCATTTTCACTTAATTACCACTGGGTAGATGTGTACATCATACAGTATTCACAGTATTGCAGAACATGGACTGTATTTCAGCATGATGTTTCCTTAGCTATCACAAAAACTCATCACAACTGAAACTGCACCAGTTCTGGAGCATTGCTTTTGGGGGATGATTCTGATGCTGTTATCTTGCAAGTAATAGCTAAAGTCTAGCCAACTGCAGTAGGAACAGATTTTCAGAAGAAAGTTAACCACTACCAGGAACTCACTTGTTTCATACAGTTATGACTTATTTCATTTGTGTACAGAAAATAATGTATTCATAATAGATATTGAGCAAGGATTTTTTTTTTTTTCTTCAATATTAAACTTCCAACATTGCATTGCATGGCGGGGGTGATATAGCACAAACCCTGTTTAAGAACAGTGGTGTTAAGATAATTTTTCATCAGCACAAATGGAGGCTGACTATGTTCATCAGAATGGACGAAGTTACTGGTCAGTACATACGTGTGAAGGATGGTTATATTTCTCCAGATAAATAAAAAAGAGAATTTATCTTCGTGGAGTTGATAGTATCACTGATGCAAAGTGAAAGTAATTCTAAGATTAAAGTTTATTCTTTACAATCACATGCTTATATTAGGGGCAGAAAGCATCATGTTTTCCATATTGAATGAGAGGCAGAACTGTGCTGTCAAGCTCAAGCTGTAATATAAGAACTGTAATGAGCCCAAAAGAAGTTGGGAGAGTATTAGCTTACATAAGTGACCAGAATCGGAAACTGATATGGAACAAACAGTATTTGTGTCCTCTACCTGTTTCACATCTAGCAGCAAATCTCTTCACTCTCATAGCAATGGCCATTTTGAATAGACTTGAAAGACCTTTCATCACTTTTTATCAGTGTGTGACCACTACCCTGCTGCTCTTGTCATCAAAGGCTAGATTTTTCCATTGCTTCTCTTCAGACGTATTGGAATGCCATTCTTTCTTTGGCTGAACTAATCACTCCTTTGAAAGGCTTGACCAGCTAGATGGGAGGAAATAAAGAGAAATAAATATCATGCACCTGATCATGCTGTATGCTGGATAAACACACTGAAGACAGGAAAATCCATGATTTTGGCTTCTGAAAATATCTATTTAACAGGGGAGGATTTTAAGTCCTTCTTTTAAGCTTCTTTCACAGAATGAGTTAGTCTTCATTCTTCAGTCCCTTCCAGGGAAGGTTTGCCATTGCTGTTGTTGTTTTGTTTGTTTGTTTGTTTGTTTAGTATAACCCAAAAGTCCTTCTCCACAGAGTCAAGCTTTAAGCACTTTATGCTCTTTAGATCCTTCTGTTAGAAAAATAGTTTCTAAACAACACAAAACATGATTTTTTTTACTAATATCCAACCTAAACCTTCCCTGGCACAACTTGAGGCAAGAGGAGTTTGAGTTTGGCAAAGAATAACTCTGCTTTTGAAATGTTTCACTTTTGTTATTGAGGAATATATTTATATTTTAAATCTTGTTTGTGTCCTTTATGCTTGTATATGTTTTGTTGTTGTTGTTGTTTTGTTTTTGTTTTTTTGTCTTGTTTGTTTGTTTTTTGTTACACTACCTTTGGCTTCCTGAAGGGGGTGGGGGTAGGGAAGGGGGAAGGTATTTAAGTCCAGGATAGAGAATTGAATCAGCACTGTATTTATTTCAAAGAGATCACTTTTTGGGTCTATTGCTTTGTAAGTAAGGCATTTAAAGTCTTTAAGCCGAATAGACACATAGTACTTCCTTTAGACTGAATAACTGCTACCATATTAAAATCATTTGGGAGAAAAACTTGATCCATATTTCATAGAATCATAGAATCATAGAATATCCTGAGTTGGAAGGGACCCTTAAGGATCATCAAGTCCAACTCTTGACACCGCACAGGTCTACCCAAAAGTTCAGACCATGTGACTAAGTGCACAGTCCAATCTCTTCTTAAATTCTGTCAGGCTCGGTGCAGTGACCACTTCCCTGGGGAGCCTGTTCCAGTGTGCAACCACTCTCTCTGTGAAGAACCCCCTCCTATTTGCCCATATCTAACAGTTATTGATAGATTGAAATGACTCGCCATTGAAGAAAACCTTGGGAAAGATTCACCCTTGGCATGAGTAGGCACATCTCTATTAGTGTTAAAATATTCATAGAATCATAGAATCATACAATATCCTGAGTTGGAAGGGACCCTTAAGGATCATCAAGTCCAACTCTTGACACCGCATAGGTCTACCCAAGTTCAGACCATGTGACTAAGTGCATTGGCAGTGTTTGTTTGTTTTTAATGGTCTTTTTTTTTTTTTTCTTTTTCTGCTATGATATGTATGAGCCAGTGGTTAAAATGATTATGCCTGTGGGTACACAATAAAGAGAAGTTCTGTGATAACCAGTAGCTGTGCCAACATGATTGTATACCGTTGACTTCCATATGCATGGTACCGCATATCTCAGCATCACCTTTTCAGTGATATGCTGAGTACCTTTGTCCAATCATGTAGGGAATCTTGTAATCATATTTCACTTCAGCTGAGAGAAAAAGAGCTAGAATGCAGGGTGGTTCTTCATTTATACCATAAGAGTTCTGAAAATTATTTCAGCCCTTCTAACTCAAAGCACAAAGTGCATTGCTCTTTTTCTTCTTTTTTGGACTGAAGAAGAAAATCAAAGGAAAATATCAGGAAGAATGTTTGTTTGGGTTTCACCAAAAGTTTGTGCTCTGCTGTGCTCTGAGTAAGTAGACTCAATATAAAAGTTGATGTATGAACTGAATTTTACCGTTATCTAGATGGAGTTGTTTCCCAAAGCTAAAGCAAAAGATTGTCTGTCAGATAGTTACAGCTCCAAACCACTTAAATTATCTTATATGAGAGAGGGCTTAAAATCAGACTATAATTTGGAATGTGCATTATCCCCAAACCCCCAATGCCTAAGAAAACTTATGTTTCTTTTTTGCTAGCTGGTGGAGACATAGCTATTATTTTGCTGATCACATCCATTGGGATCTGACAATGTCCATCTTGCTATTTTACTCCTAAAAACTGTATCTCCTGTGCATGCCCCTTGACCTTACTTTGGTTTATGGCAAAACTGGCTTTCAAAAGGATTTGGATTATAGAATCCACTTGGTCCAATAACCTGTCAAAGTAGAGTGAGAATCATAGATCCAACTCAGAGCTAGATTGGAGTGCTCAGGGCCTTGTCCAGCTGAACTTTGAATATTTCCAAGCATGAAGCTCCACAGCTTTCTAGATTACCTGTTTCAGTGCTGAAACATTCTCAGAGAAGATTTTTTTTTTCTTCATATCCAAGTCAAATTTCACTTTTTGCCATCTATGACTACTGTTTCTCATCTGCTGTGTGCCTTTGAGGAGAGACTGTCCTCCTCTTCCCTATAATCTGCCAGAAGTCAGTGACAGACAGCTGTCAGATCTCATCCCCCTCCCCAATCCTTCTATACTGCAAACCAAACTCCCTCAGCTGGGGGTTTAATATCCAAAGATACTAGAGCATTAATCTTCTTGATTCTTCCACAAAACCAATCAGTCACTTGTTCTCCCCAGCCTAGGACTACAGTCCCTACAGCTCATTTTTCCTTTCTGACAAAGAAGTTGTTGCTGCTCTGGAAAGCTCAGTTCTTTCTGTGAAGCCCCTCTCAGGTACCCTAAGAATCCCCCAGCATTAATCTCAACTCAGCTCTGATCCCTAGGATTTCCCCCCCTCTTACAGGATCTTTCCTCCAAACAAGATCATCTTGTTCTTTATGAGAGCCCTTCGTCTTCTGGGGAAATATTTTTGGTGACACCTCTTCATTCTGGAAGTCATGCTCCTGGTTTTCCCAATCTAAATAGTTTGTTGTTCTAATTTGTTGTTTTATCTCATGTTTCTGTATTAACTGGAGGATTCAGGATGGGCCACTATTTTTAGTCCATGTTCTATCTAAATTTATGAACATTCCTTACTGATTTCAGCTAGAAAGTAACAGGATTGTGCTTGAGCTCAAAAGTTCAATTTTAAAAAATCCCCTCCTCCCCTCCCCCCAATAAAACAAATTGTCTGCTACCTCTTAGCATTTTAGCATTCACAATTTCAGCTATTTTTTTTCCACGTGTGACAACTGGGAAACCCAAAACTAGACAGAATAGTCCTGATAAGGCTGAACAGATGGAAGAGTCAGTTTCTTTGACCTGTTTTCTACTTTCTTGGTTATTATGTAGTTAACCTTCACTGCAAGGATGCACTAATGGAACATCTTCAGCTTTTGTCCACCACTATCTTTTAAAAGCTACTTGTTACTGCTCTACAGAGTTACTCTATTATAGTCGCAGGGCTTTTCACTTGTCTTAGGCATGAAGTTATGGAATGACTCTTGGCCAGGTTTTCCCAGAAGCCTTTTATTAAATACTTGTAGAAAAAAAATAGTTTAGAAAAGTCATCTGGAGGTCATCTTGACCAACTCTCTGTTTCAAGCAGGGCTATCTTCAAAGCTAGATCAGGGTGTAGTCTAGTTGAATTTTGAGTATCTCAAAACTAATAAGATAAAACTCAAATCAAATGTCTATGACATTATAATAGCTTAATTACTTCAAGGAGGGAAGAAGGTCAATTTATAGGCCAGCTGGTCTCATCCTGATCAAGAAAATCTATTTAAAATTGAGCCAATTACATGTTGGAAACAAAGAAGGTGTACTTGCACAGTAGCTCTACAAGGATGTTAACTCTTCTGATTGACACCTTCCAAGACTACTGAAAAGCTGGTTTGGATTGTCTCTCAGTGTACCAAGAAAAAAAAAAAAAAAGTAGTATGTTTTCTAATTTTTAGCCTTATTTCTAGTGAAGTTTGCTTTATTAAAATTAGATACAATCAGATATAATCTCTGGGGTGAAGAAAGGAAACAGATTTGTGAAGCATCATCTGCTGGGCTTTGTCACCCCAGGAGGGAAGTAGGAAGAATGCGTGGTAAGAGATTTGTCTTGTATGTTATTATTCATCAAAAGTGTTCAAGTATTAGTGCTATGTTAATGAAGTATTCTTGAATAGTCTGACAGATCTCATGATAAACTCCTTAAAAAAAAAACAAAACATCAATAAAACTGGGAGGGTGTCAATTGGCTAATTAGCTAATAATCAATATTCATCAGCAGTAGCTGTGACAAGATGGCAGACAGATACTAGGCTTTGTTCAAGGCCTGGGTGCTTTGTTGGCTCAAGTCTAGGGGAAGATATTGTTAAAACCATTATAACAGTGTTGTGAGACAAGAGTTAGTGGAAAGCAACAGCATCCTGATAGTGACGTTAATCTAAACCGAGTACTCAAAAATATTTTCTCCTACATAAAGTATTATGAAAGAGTTTGTTCTCACAATTAGTAACTTTTCCTAAAGTGGGGATTAGAAAGGGAAGATATGAAATGCCCTGGATGGAACCTGTAATTCCGAAGTCTCCAAGAAGGTAAGGATATCAGCTTATGGTAATTTAAGCATTTAGTTATAACTTCAGGGATAAAAACTGATCAGAACATTCCTGTAAATCTCAGAGGCAGACACAGCGAGACTTACCTCACTTACCTGTAGGTATCTACAGCAAAAATACAGACATTTATTTCTGAGCATGCTATCTCAACTCCCATGATATCCAGAAACAAAAAGCATGAGTTATCTGGTCTAGTGGAGGTGTCTGTATTATGATGGAAATGGGATGTATTGTACAAGCATCTGGTACTTTTCATTGACTCTGAAAGCCTAGGCAGCCACATCAAATGCCTGAAGCTAAGACAGTTGAATCTCACCACGACTAGCTGTGTCACAAACAATATTAATAATAAAGTGAACTTGTTTGGTGAGTCTATTTGTATTGTATCTCAAACAACATTAATTATGGTTTGTTTAGCAATATACAGCTGTCTAATTTCAGCTTATTCCAACCATAATTACAAGGTATGTAAAGGAGAACACAAATTGGCTGTTTTCACTCAATACCAATCCATTTTCTTTAAAAATGAAGGGTACTGTGTGACTTTCTATGGTGCTCCATTGCTTTGGGTAGCCAAGAACTACGCAGTTTCATGGAGAGGATATTTCTTCTGAAAACTAAGATCGAGTCCTAATCTTGGTTTGGACAGCTAATTATGAGATTTCTTGGAGCAGAAAATTCCCCAAAGGTCACAGAACTTCCTCCTACACAAGCTGGGTGTGCTGTGGGGTTCTGGGCTTGCGTTAAATAAAGAGGCAAGTTTGAGAAGACCAGGTGTCCTGGATTGTCAGGGTTGTGCTGGAAGTAGTTTCCTCTGATGTTATCAGAGAATGCTGTTAAAGTTGCCTCCTGCAAGCTTCTGCCCCTGATGCAACGTCTCCTGGAGCTGTACTGTGCTGCAAAGCACCTCTGTGATTCTTCTCTTTCATCAGCATTTTGTGTTAGGCCTTGCTTGCGCTCGTTGACTCCAGCCCAGAAATAATACCCACTGCTTTCGCAGCACCTCCCAGCTGCCAGCAGCTGAGATAGCTTCAGGCTGGGCTTGCAAATAGTGTGCAGCAAGGAGAAGCAATAGCTCCTGACAGCGCAGCCTGCTGGAGTTTTCTGACTGCAGGGCTGATGAAAGGCTCAGGCCTTAGGTTTAGCACACTTGTAGAAAATAAGCATTGGGGAAAAATAAAGTAAAAACAAAGAAATGGAAATAGAGAAGAAGCAAACAGTAGACACAACTTATTGCATATTTAAGCAGGTTAGCGTTCCAGGCTTGTACTGCTGGGAGAGTTTGACAGGTTTACACTGAAAGATACCACTTAGAAGTGTTAACTTCTTTTAGCTTAGCATTATGGAGCTTTTTCTCTGGAGAGTATAAAGCTGGCTATAGCTTTCATAATTCATTCTTAAAATGTGAGGTTAATGTGTAGCTACATTAGATATTAAGGGAAACAGATGGAGTGAAGAACACAGTGAATCACAAGGAATCTGTTCAAGATTTTTTCTCACTAAGATAATTTTTTCCTTAGTGAGTCTGCCTTAAATATCAGAGCTCCATTCACCATATAAATGCCAGTTCCACTGTGCCTTGTTTGGTATTTGAATATTCAAGCTAGACATTGATTTTGTTCAAGTTGGGGCTAAACTGAAAAGAAGCAAAATCATTCTAATTGAATTTAGTTATATCTTTGTTCTAAGTCTCTTTCGAATATCTAATACTTTGATTTCTCTGGTGATCATCTGTAATACTATGCTTTACAGTGACCATGACATGCAGGTCTGCTTATTTTAGTCATGTGAAGGAACTCACATTTCCTAACACAAACCATGCCCCATATCAAAACTTACTGTAATTCCAGACTACTCATCATCTTCCTAGCCAACTGTCCCAAGGCAGAGGTAGGCTGTGTGGCTTCATAAATAGGTTTGTTGGAAACATCAAGTGAGGTGAAATGGCATGGTTCCCGCATTCAGAAAGACTAGCCAGGATTTTTATTTCTCTTCAATCAGATAGGATGGAAGAAGAATGCCACTGATGACCTCAACTGCAGTTAGAGGCTCATAGCTTTCCAGAGTTGAGTAAATAATAAATGGTCTTAGTGATGGATGTCTTTGAAATACTCTAATAATTTTAATATAATGGACTGGATAGTATAGATTCATGCTCTCTGATAGTTTAGGCCAAATGATCTAGTGTTTTCTTTTGCATCCAAGTGCATAGAAAATTAGGGCTTATTATGAAACTGGTGGTTATCACATGGAGGAAATGACCAATGGAAGTATTTCCACCTCTTGATATTTTCAAAACTGAATAGCTTTCAGGAAGTGAAAACTTTATCTGAATACATCTCACAGTGCTTTGTGATGAGATGAACAGATGAAATTGAAATCTATGTGACTTCAAGAGGTCATTTTTTTTTTATTATTATTTTGGTGTGTGTGTAGATTCCATCAAAAATATTTTGCTTGCATTTTCTGTTAAGAGTTTTGAGTGAAATGTTCCTAACCAGTATTTGAACTGATAAACAAACAAACAAAACACACAGTTTTTGTATCATTCTCCATTTTGAGAGAAATGTTTTGGCTTGATTTGTTGTCAGCTGTTTTTCATGTTCTTCTGCCCCCTTCATGGCTCATGTAGCAGTAATCTATAATTTGGAACGAGATGATCAGAGCTTAGTATCTGCTTTGACTGAAATAATCCTCATGGCTGTGATGTGTGCTAAAGTGTCAGGTCTGAAGTCTTCTGTAGCATTTGACCTCACCTGCTGGGTAGGATATAAGGATATGTGCTACTTTGCATGGAGCTAAGAGCAAAGTATGCCCCTCTGTTCTGTTACTAGGATGGAAGGACTTTGCACCACACATTCTGCTAGAATGCAGTGTTCATCCTGACTTACTTCCACGCAGACTGGTGATAAGGAAGAGTGGACATTTTGGTGGTTCTATACTCCCACCCATTTTATATTTCACCTACTTTGTCCTTGGAGTGTGAGCTACAGTCAGCCAATTTTAGGCCAGGGAGGGAACATCTGAGACCTTTTTTTCTTTCTCTATAGCCAGGAAAGGGAACTTGGCTTCTGGTAAGAGGGGACAAAAATCTGTGTTGATGTCAAGATTCACAGCTCCACTAGCAGATAGATATAGATCATTCTCCAAAAGGTCCATTCTGGACTGACACTTGGTTTCTTCTGAGGCAGGAGAAGACAAAATTAACACATTTGCGAAGTCAAAAATGGAGTCATGTAACTATTCTGTGTGAGGCTGTGGGTTTGCAGTGTTGAGGGTCATGAACAGACTGGAGGAAGTGTAGGCAACCTCCTTTCCGTTTTCCTAAGAGGGATGCTATCCTGTTGTTTTTCTGTGATAATGGTGGCACAGTGGGAAACCTCAAACTGCTGAACAAGGCAAATAATCCACTATAGTATACAGGCTGTCTATCTCTGGTTGTGCAGGGTGTTTGTTCTTTTAATCCATAGCCTGAATGGTCGATGCCTCAAAACGAGTTGGTATTTACATGGTCCTGCAGGTTTATGTGTCAAAGTTCAGGAACTGAAATATTTCAAGCAAACAACGAAGAATCAAAAATATTGTATCCTGTCCCTGCTGTTACTTCTCGCAGAATACACAGCACTGTCATTCAATCAGCCCAAGCACGTGTCTTCTATTCCCTCTTGTGTGTGTTGATTTTCAGTGATGGTGTTTCTGGATGTCCCAGTACACCTCTGACACCCTGTATTTGTTGTTTCCTCCTTATGAAACCTGTAACCTTTCCTTAGCATTCATGTCAACCAGGTCCTCCATTCTTGCAACATCCTCTTGCTGCTGCCTGGATGTGCAGTACAAAGCTTACTGGTGATCTGTCCAGGGGACCAGGATTCTTCTTAGGCTGGAGGTGTCAGGGACACTGAGCTTATTTTATCCTGGCATCATTTCTGTCACGTTAGAGGAGTTGTTCCTTACCTACTTCCTCACCTGTAGGATGAGATGAGGGAGTCAAGGTGAGTTTCTTGCATTCCTTTGCAGGTGGGTGTTTGCGACATGTGGCTTTTGTACCCGGTGTCACCCTAGTAACAGCAAGTTGCTGTCTCTTGGCAACTGTCGGGGTTGCTAAGAGAAAAATTGGCAGTGTTTGACTCTGATGTCTTTGACATCATCCACTTACATTACATTGGGACAAGTTTGATGGAGACAAGAAGACCTGATGGCCAGCCTCATCTCCTTTAGCTCAGATGTGTGTTGGTTTAATAAATAGTTAATCATGTCTGTAAGACATGGAATAGTCTGAGAGTCAGAAAATATGATTCCTGTTAGTTGCCCTCCTTGGTCCTTTCAGTATGTACAGGTAACATTTCCTGCCCTCAGCTAAAAGAGCTGGAAAGCAACACACAGAGGGAAGAGAAGCCCCATACTTTCGCTTGTTGGATGACCATCACTGTCTAGGTGCTAAGCGTTATTGCAGGTGGTTGATGCGCTAGTTCCCCAATCCATTTCACAAGTGGCTTCACTGAGAAAGAAGAAGCTTTTGCCAAGCTGCCATCTCTAGCAGTGTTTTGCTCTGTAAATCTCCCTGTCTATAGGCCATTATGTGAAAGTCATAGCTTGAGTGAAGAGTGAGTGCAGGGGGAAGGGAAGGAACAACAGATCCAGTAAGGTATTATTCTAGCTCAGTGCTGTGGAATTCAGTGGATCTATACCAGTGCAGCTCTAAAGCAACACAGTGATGAACTGATAAATCCCATTTTCTTGCATCTGCCCACTCTGAGCTGGGGCTGGAGCCATTACTATCTGCTGTTGCATGTCAGAGCATGTGCAGGATGAGTTGTGCTCTCTGCAGTGTAGAGCAGACAGATGGTGAAACCCACCCATTCCAAAGTGTGCCTACAGAGAGTAAGATTTTTGCACTGTTGTGGTGCTGGCAGATAACGACTGCAGCAATATTCTTACATTTCAGAGTGGTACAGTCTCAGAATGAAACAAGTGCTATTTTACTGGCATTCTTTTCTAGCACCTCTTTGCTCCACAGCTTCTTGTAGAGCTTTTGGCACAAACCAGTGTTGGAGACTGGGTACGGTACTGGCTGGACCAGCTCTGTGATTTGGTGTGAGAGCTGGATTATTGGCAAGAAACACAGACCTCAGCCACTGGTGTGCTTTTAAGACCAGAGAACCAGGGGAGAAATGTTCTTCACCCCTTCTAAACCCTCTGTGTTGGCACTGTGCAGGGAGAGTTTCTCTTGGCTAGGGAGGAAGAGGGATATATTCTCTACCCTAAATGAATAAAATTTCTTTAGCTGTACAAGTGGGGCTTGTGACAAGACAAGGAAGTGCCTGGCAGGCACTTGCAGAAGCCATCAGAAATCCAGGATATATTCAGAAATGCTCAGTTTTCCACCAGTTTGCTGCAGCTGACAGCACATTTGTGACCTTGGTGACAGCATCAGCCTCGCAAATGAAAAGGACATGCATCACTAAGAGGAGAATTAAATTTGCAATGAATGGCTTGCATTTCATTTTCTATTACTGTCATATTTATCTGTCCCAGCTAATCCTCGTGTCCCTAGAAGGCCTGCCCTAGTGTTCCACTTCCTGTAGTAGGAGTGATGCCTATACTCACAGTAGGGGTAGCTTTCTCTCTTTTGACAAACACTACCAGGTACATCCCAAGCTCCTCGTTATTTTGCCAGTGGTGAGGACTGTGCAACTTGCTGATGTGGAGACTTTTACCTCCTTAGACAATATCAGCTCTGACTTTTGACTGTAATCTGTAAAAGCAGCATCTATCAGTAAAAATGTTGCTCCCTGGTTAAGCAGATAGGGTTCTTGTGTCGGTGTGAGAAGAGGAAAAAGTAATCTGCTACATTGCAGCTGCCATTTCAGAGATTTTCATCTGTCTCTTTTCCTTATATAAGCCTAAGAGCAGACACAAGATATGGGGGCTATAGGTATATGAAATGGCTTCACACACCCATCTACACATCCCTTTCAGGCTAATTTGGGTTAGAAGAGGTAGGGAATCAAAGAACAAATCAATTTTTATTACTGTTCTATAAACTGTGGAGACTTGGCTTAATTACCAGTGCAATACTGACATCCTGGGTGAATCCAGGTATGATTACTTTTTTTTATTTTTTATTTTTTATTTTTTTTTATTTTTATTTTTATTCTGCTTGTTTCATTTTGTTTATGTATAATGCCACTGTAGTTCATTTTTGTGAAAAGTGTGATCATTATTTTATAGTCCTCTGCTTAGAAATTCCTACCTGGAGGGCCATTTGTGATGAAGTTTTCTATTAAGACCAAGGGGCAGTCACCTCTAAAGGAATAGGCTAGAAATCCAAGTCATCTAGAGATGTTTGCCTGAGTTACAGGGGCACGTGATATGAGTCTGGGGGTAGAGGAATGATTTGCTGTCAATCTTGACTCCCTGGCTTCTGAAGCTGGGCCAAATCCACTTCCTAGAATTAAATCAGGGTGCTCAGGATCATGATGACAGCTGAAAATGACCAGGTGATCCAGTAACCTCTCCTGTCCTCCATCAGAGATGGGGGGAAAAGGGAGCAGAGCAACTGGGGAATTAAAAATGGAGGCTGTGACAGGTGCCACTCTCTGTGCCCAGCTATTGGAGGCTTACTCACAGAAGACAGAAAGGCAAGAGGTTGGCTCCCTTCCACCACAGCCTTGCTGACTTTGTAAGGTCACAGTGAGTCTGCCTTGATTCCCTGTCTGCTGCGCTCCCTGCTGCCCTGCCAGCACTAATGCACAGTGACTGTGGAGCTGGGGAGCTGTGCTTCAGTTCAGCACTGCAGACTGCAGCCAAATCTAGATGACTTTGCAGATGCTGGTGTTGCGGATGATGTGACCTGAGATGAGCCATGATGCAGCTCTCAGTGCAGGACTGGAGCAGTTTACAAAGTGGAACAAAGCAATGGATTCCTCTTCTCTTCTAAATGTAGTCCCTCAGAAAAGATTTCCCTTGCAAAAGCCTTGGGATTGATGCAGCTGGCAGCAGTGTGCATCTGTTTGTGTTTTAAAGTCAATCACAGTTTTCTTCCACCCTCTGTCAAAAAAGGGGGACTAAGAAGATTGGGAGTCATGAGGAAAATGTTACCTAGAGCTCTGTGGATAGGAGAGATTTTGTAACAGCAACTCACTTTTTGTACCCCTAAACAGATCTAATTCAGAGGAACCTTAGTACAGCAAAGTCCTTTTCTTGGCAGTGTCCAATACCATCTCCTCTGCAGAATTACGTGGTTCCAGGTACGTGCAGCTGAAATGACAGGGTTTCATCTGCCTCCCTCCCTTCCCTTCCACCAGCTGAGAAGCCAGTGAGTGCCTTTATAATGAAGGATTGGCTTAGATATGAGATTCTTGTGCCTTTCCCACGTGTAAGTACAGTCATGCCCAAAGCATATTAAGCCATGATCACTGAATAAAGCCAGGTCAGGTGGTGAGATGTCAGTCTTCTGGCTTATATGTAGCACTGAATCCTTGAAGCCAGTCCCTTGAGTTGGTTAGCAACACTAAGGCTGTGCCACAAAAAGTAGGATTGCAAAGGTTTTGAGTTCTCTCCCATCTAAGTGACATGGCTCCTTAGGCTGGCTGGCATCCTTTGTTTCTTAGGTATGATAAAAATGAGGCCTCCAGTACCTAAAGGTACTACAAGAAAGTAGGAGAGGGACTCTTTATCAGGGAGTATAGTGAAAGAACAAAGGGTAGCATCTTTAAACTAAAAGAGGGTATATTTGTATTAGGTATTCAGAAGAAATTTTTTACTATGAGGGTGGTGAGGCACTGGAATAGGTTGCCTAGAGAAGTTGTAGATGCCCCATCCTTGGAAATGTTCAAGACCAGGCTGGGTGAGGCTTTGAGCAACCTGGTCTTAGTGGAAGGTGTCCCTGCCCATGGCAGGGGGGGGTGGCATTAAATTAACTTTAAGGTCTTTTCCAACCCAAACCATTCTGTGATTTAACACCCTCAGCAGTGCTGCTGCTGGGTGAAAAAAAAAAAAAAAAAAAAGAGCTGGGGAGGCAGAACAGTAGTAGCTCAGCAACATGGCTCTTTTGCATTTATGATCTTGAATGGAAGGGGAACAGGAATGAGAATGAATTCTGGCTCTTTCTGTTAAAATATGTCTGTGTCTCCCCAGCACCGACTGCACTGATGCTGTAGGACTTGGAATGCCCTTGTCCTGACAAGCAGATCTTTCAAAGCAGGTCGGGCTGGCTGAATGCCTTGCTTTGCATGCAGCAGCCATGGAGAAAAGAGCCTGAGAAAAACAGTTGCTCCTTTTGCCAGCCCCATAAAGCAGCTGGCTTCTCAGATGTCAGGCAGATCTGAAACATCAAAGGGCATTTTCTTGAACTAGCTGACCTTTTATTACACATCTCTTTCTTCTAATACCCCGTAGATTAGCTTTGCCTTGTTTCTGCTTCTGTATTCTTGACCTGTAACAACCCCCCCCACTTTGAACCTGTTCCATGTTAGCAGAGAGGAGGCATTCACAGCAACTGTGCTGCAGCAAGCAGCTCCCAGTGGGTGGCAGATGTTCCTCTCTGAGTTTTCTTTTGTGTGCGTATGTGTGTGTCACTGGAAGTGCCTCCAAGCATGTAACCACCCCCACGCTTCTGTCTGATCCTGAGCTATAGGTGGGCATCACACCAGCAGACACTGAAGGTGTGTTTAGTCCCAGGTGAGCCAGGTGTCACTATGAATGCAAGAGTTTGTCATGCTTTCACATGTGGTAAGCTGCATCCCAAGAATACCAAGGACAAACAGTTCCAGTGGTTATCTGTCTCCCTTGAGCAAGTCTTGCTGAGTCCCAGAGGAGTGCTGATGGAAACAGATGTGAAAGAGGTGTTTCTGGGGGAGTGTGTTGCCAGTAACTTCTGAAAGGTGGGTATGATTATGTGAAGAGCAGATGCAATGAAGAAAGACAGCACAAAAGACAGAACTTCCTTGCTTTTGAGCACCTCTTCTGTGCCCTAGGCGTTTGCTCTTGTGGTTATTGTTAAGCACAGCTCTGCTTTGTACACAGATTGCCTCTGACTCTGTTCTCAGGGCTCTCTGCAGCTTTCTGTTTCCTGGGCCTGCTCTTCTGGTCCTAGTCTTTTTCCATCCAACACCTCTCACATGCATTTCACTCTGTTATCAGTGATTCCCTGCCTCATGCTGTAATCTGCCAGAATAATTTGTACTACCTAAACAATTCTTGAAACATGCATAGACCTTATTCTTAGGGCAGAGGATGGACACTCACAAAGAATATGAGCATCACCAGACTAAAAGGAGTTCCTCTAGGAAACAAAGGATAGACAGCTTGTGTAATGTGCTGCTGAGACCATTAACAAACCTTGGTTTCTAGGCAAAAGGAAGACTGGAAACAGCAGTGAAGAAAAAGAAATGAAAGTGGTTACTGTGTGAGCCTTCTTGCCTTAGGATACTGCACCAAACAGTGAGGGTCAGCTTCATTATTTAACAGTCAAGAACCTGGAGGTCTGTTGCACTCGTTAGCTATCATGTCATGTCATACAGTCATGGAAGCTAGTAGCTTGAGGCTGTGTCTCTAAAAGAAGTGGCTGGTTCTCCACTTTCCTTTTGCAGACTTGAACATCCATTCAACTTGGAAGCCAAGTTTTTCCTTTGTGATCTGAAGTTGTTCTGCCTTCATAAGCAGCCTCAGAGGCTTGTTTAGTACTGAGTCCAGCTAATTCCAAAAGACACTTCTGTCTAGATCGCTTGGAACAGCCCAACTTCAATGTGTTGGCACAGGTTATCAGCTTTACCAGCAAACTAGCTTTTTTGTTTGAAACTAGCACTTACCAAGTGGCACTCAATTAGTATTTTCACTCCAGTTTCATCATGTTGATGCTTCTCACGTGATCTGTCCCTTTCTCAGCATGGAGATGAGAAGAACCCAGGAAGGTTGAAGTGCCACTGGGGATACACTTGTGCTACTTGAAGGAGCACTGGGGCTGAAAAAATGAATATTTCTGTTGGGCATAGCCACTATTTAAAATAGATTTTACTTCTTTAGTCTCCTCAGTACTTATTGATTATCATCCATGTATTTGTCTTGAAAGAGTATGGGGCCTCTGCCATACCATTACCAGTGGATCAAGCCTCCTGGTTCATCTTCTATATATTTTTTTTTTCCATTTTCTCAAACCACTTTGAGTTTTCCTGAAAATTAGGTTTTAATGCTGGAATTAATCTTAAAATAATGAGGATGATCGATTCTATAGGGTTCCAGGAAGGATGGTCAAGCACTCTACAAGCAGAAGAACCATGAACGTCTTTGTTGTTAGAAAGAATACAAATTTTCCCCTCACATTTATCATCTCAGAAACAATCTGGGAGCTATCAGATGAGACATAGAAATATTAGGCAAAGCTGGACTTAAAGGAGACAGTATGAAATCAAATGTACAGAAGATAACTTGTTCTATAGAGGGACAGCTTTGCGTAGGCTATGAAATATTATTGAAACACAATTGGAACAATCCACTTAGGTAAAGTAATGAGAAATATGATTTATGAGGGTGAAGCCAGCTCAACATCATCTTAATGACCTAACATTAAATATATATTACTAAATTTAGTATCTCCAAGAGCATATTGTCAGTGTTCCTATCTAGTTCAATGATTTCCACTTATTTTCAAATGTTGGATAGCCATAGAAAAGGAGTACCCAGCTGTTTTGGGCAGAGGTTACTTTTCTGGCCACAGACAAAGGTATACAATTTACAGAGACCTCACCTTTGCACACCATCATTGTTTTGGCTGCCTTGAGTAAAGTGACTGGTGTTTTGAACTAATACACCATATATAGACAATGGCAGACAAAGAGCCAGCATATGTTTGGTCCTGTTTTCTCCTGCTGCAGGGAGAGTAACCTCTGATAGGAGCACCTGTTATTGCAGTATCTTAAACAATCACATAGAACAGTATCTCCGGGGACAAAAACACAGCCAAGTATAAGCATAGATGTATTTAGATTTTCCTCCATGTGGGCCTCCTGTAACAAGGAGGGGAAATAGCATTGTATTTCCTGTGCTTCAGCTATCTAAGTTACTCTGAGATAAGCCTTCCAATGTCTATTAAGATAAATCAGAATATAAGGTGTGACACGAATCATTCTTGAACCTACGCCCTTGCAGATACAAAGTGTTAAACATACATAGAGAGTTCTGAAAGCTTGAGCTGTTTTCCCTGATGCTGAGACTTTCTGTCCCTGAAGGTAGATTCCTGCCCAAGTAGCAGCTGATGGCCATTCTGGGTTTATGACCACCATTGATTCAGCATCTGACAGCTTGCCCTGTTTTGTTCCTGCAGGACTGAGGCAGAAGCTCAAGTTGGCTATTCTCAGCAGAGCTCATTCTAGGGACTGGAGGGAGGGAGTGGGGGAATCTCTTGCATATGACGTAACTGTGGTATGTCACACTTTTATCTGCTCTTGGAAACTGCAATGTGTCCTGTGCCTCAGCTTCTACATAGAGATAGCCCTTTGTTGTGTTTCTAAAGTTTTACTCAGGAAATTTCCCCCAAACCCACAAAGTTCTTCCATGCTGTTTTGATGGGAATCATGAGAACATAGAATATATTTTGCTTGTAACTGTGGTTTATAATTTCTGTCCTTCTCATGAACAACAGCCAGCAAGAGGAATGAGAAAGTGGTTTATTGGCAATTAAACTTGTTTCTCTGTATTTTGACCACTCAGAATCCTCTGGGTGTTGCAGCACTCTGCATACAAGAATCACATTGAGTGCAGGGGATTTAAGTTGCAGGATAAGAGTAACACAGCATTCTAGAAAGCACCCTTGAACATGCAAAAAGGACCTGTTTCATTGCAAAGTCAACTAATGTTTCTAAGAATGATATGATCACATGAAGAGAGACCAGAGTAAGACTACCAAGTCAGTATAGATCATTTGGAGGACTGCAGCTCATTTGAAAACAGATAGCAGTACAAGGGTGAACCAGAGTTCATCTGAAGTACAAGACACCATGTCCGGAATTAACAGTGCTTTATACAGAGTAGTTTAATGGATGCTCAGTCAGAAAGACGTTATAGAAACAGAGTAGGCAGAAGGTAATGATCTCTAAAACAGGGTAATATGTTATTAGTCTTTAGGGGCAAATTGTCATACAGACTGAGTTACTAGGTTGGGTCCCAGTGAGATCTACGGGAAAGAGAACCACTGCTTTTTACCACAGAACTGGCTTTTGACTTTTGCACCACAAATATCACATCAGCATCC